CAGCCTGAGAGAGGTCCTCTTTCTGTTGCTCACTTCTGCTCTATCTTGTGGAGCTCAGGACAAGGGCCTTTATAATCCCCTGTGCCTCTGTAGTGTGGAAGCAGGTATCAGAAGAGCCAGGAGGCCAGAGGTGTTGGGGGGGGTGGACAGATGATGGGGGGTATGGGGGGGTGGAGCAGGACTGGGCCCTGCAGGTGCCCACGTGGCTAAGTGGAGCGCATGGGTGGAGCAGGGGCTCAAGTTGTCAGCTTTTTAAAAGTTGTATTATTGTCATGTTTTTAATAATCTTAATATTTAATCTTAAATTTGCATATCTGAAGATAGGATTGAGGTTGTAGCCAGGTGAGAAATATATATCTCAGAGGAAATTGCTTGCCTAAACTGAATTCGAATACTTTGAAACTTTTATTTTCTGCCTTAACTTACTGTAGATCTTAGTCAGTTTTTTTGGTTTGGTACTGGGGATCGAACTCAGGACCTTGCACTTTCAAGGCAGGCATGATGTCACTGAGCTAAATCCCCAGACAAGGTCTTAGTCAATTTAAGAGATTTTTGTTATACTAAAATTAGATATAGAGGGTCAGAGTTTTATATGTATTATCTAAATGAAAAATAAATCAGTTTAGAAACAATATTTCCCACAAAGAAAAACACAAAGGCAAACATCTGTATCTTAGCCCATCTTATTTTAATGAATTTTTTAAAGGACAGCTCTATTAAATCAGTGTGCTTTCAGTTATAGAGGCCATGGTGTATCACAATAAAAAAATCACCTTTTTAAAGTCACAGGTAACTAAAACTTTTACAGAGCTGCAAAGTAGCGCAAGCACTTTCATTTTGGAGCAGTTTATAATGTGATTGTCAACCTGACTCCATTTTGTGTCTCATCACCATTCCCCCTCCATTTCATGTAAAGTTGACTGATTCCTTGTTGTCTTGAGTCCCCTTGGTTGATATATCACTCTCCCTGCATCCTGTTTGGTAGAGCAGTCTGCAGCTATATGTTATCTTTATGACCTTGTTTTGTTTCAAGTAAACTGTGAAACTTCCCCTGACCCCCACTAACTTAGCAAAGTTGTGGTTCTGTAAAATTCCTCTTGTGCCCCCCCTCTCCCTGTGCCTACCCCAACTAGAAGAGGCCCTTAAAAAACCCCTGCAAGTTGCTTTTTGGGGTCCAGAGGTTTTGAGCACTAGCTGCTCTTGACCAGTGGCAATAAAGGACTCAAATTTGGCTCAGAGTGTTCACAATTCTCTATAATCTCTCGAGATTAAATATAACAATAACAGTTATTAAAACACACAAGCATTTTTTTATCTTTAAAAACTTTTAAATCTAAACTTTTCTTTTGTTGAAAAATGGCTCAAGAACATCTATATTGGCTCACAAAGAAGCCTCAGAATGACTTGAAGCCCCAATGGCTTAAATAATTTTAGATGGTACTGAAACCCTGCTGCTCATCCTAAATAAAGGTGGTTATAAAAGAAGAGAAAAATAAAATAAAATAAAATAAAATAAAATAAAGTATCAAAGCAGACCAGAACAAAGAAGTATTCTAAACCAAAGTTGGTATTTTTTTAACCTCTTAATCTCTTCTGACACCAATCAGTGCCCCAAAATGACCTGCAATAAGTCTGATTGGCCCCAAATAGTGAAGGTCCATACCTCACTCAAGTGGCACTGCTGAATGACCTAAGAGAGGTCCAAATTGTGGAGATAGTAGATCCCTGGAGTGCACTTTCCAGCGGGAAACTGTTGTATAAATTCTGAACTGCAGAAAAAACTGGAACTTTTACTCGAAGAGATGAAAGAAAAACCAACACTTTAATGATTGGTCGGCCCAGAGAAGTTCATACTTTGAAAAGCCTGGGTGTTGAGTGTCTGAAAAGGGGGAGTTTTATATATCCTACTTTTAAGTTGGGAGGGGGCTAGAGGCAAGCAAAGCAGAATTTTACAGAGGCAGAAGTTTTTAGCAGATAAGCAGGGGTCACAATTGACCTGTGGTTAGGGGCTTTCTTTAGGAACAGGTTGTTCACATAAAGAACATGCATTGTGAAGGTAGGCTATATATATATATATCAGAACTTTTTAGGTCTAACAGAGCATACACTGTGAACACTACAGCTAACAGGATATATATGTAACAGAAAAAACATAGCAGGATATACATTGTGAATGATAAGGCTAACAGAGTGAATATATATTGTGGTGGCTTATATTGTGGTTATACTGAAGTATAAAGTATCATCTATTGGGAGACATTGTGAGCCCACTTGTTTCTGGACAAGTAGGAGTAAATAAGAGCCTGGGTGTTTTAAGGCTTAAGGGTTTAAAAATTTCTGTATTAAAACCAGGCAGAGCCCATCAGCTCCAAATCAGATGGAACTCTGAACTTTCAAGTTAAACAGATTGGAGCTTTCCAGACCTTTTTCCTGTAACCAACAAAGGCATTTATAGGCAGATAATGCCACAGATAGGAAAAAAGGAGATTATTTCCAGGATTCAAAGGTGTCCATGGCAGCTGCTGGAATGTCCCTGGAGTCCCAACTATAGGTTCAGCTAGCCAGGAGCAGGCAGTCCTCCACCCCATATACCACTGATTGCTAGTAACAGGTCCCTCAAGTTGGACCCCCGCCCCAGCAGACCCAGTACCCACATCTACAGGAGCACAGAGATAACAAGAAGCCAGCAGGCACCCTGGTGCTGTCACCACCACCCTGTTTATCAGGAAGCCCCAGGCCCATCACCCAAGGGACTCTAAAATTTTCCACTCTCTTGACCAGTGCCCCTTCCCTTACCTGAAATGCCCTATATCAACCATGGGCACCCTCCTCTCAGTGCCAATGGCCTTCTCACCCTTGGCCCATCTGCATGAAGATGGCAATAACTCATTGCATGTTGCTTGGACTTTGCCTGCCTCAGTGGTCTCAATTGTGCCTTGGTCAGACCTTACAGCTAGGATGCATGGGTCTCAGGAGCAGAAACTAAAGTCCCTTTGTTCTGGGAAATATGAAATATTATATCTCCCAACCTGTTAACTCTATGATACGCCAAGTTCTTATTCTCTAGAAATCAAAGAATGAGTCCTAGGGATGATGAAGGTTAAAAGTAGGAAGATATTAACTGATAGGAAAGCTCCTGAAGCGCAGGAGGGGTCCTGAGTGGGTAGTTCAAGGACCCCAATTTACAGAGAAGTTTTATAGGGTGAAACCCACGAGGGTACAACATGGGCCACAGCCATGAACATCCAATAAAGTTACAAGTATAGCCATTTAGGTAATGGTGGTCCAATTGGGAAATGAGTCACATAGTAAGCATGAATGGAAAGAACAAGGATCCTCTTAGGGGGCAGTGGGTCCAGAGGTCTCTGGTCACTCCCAGGGTGGTTGATGCCTAGCTATACTTTACCAAGGCCAGTTCTTTGAAGAAGTATGTGGGTCTGGTCATCTTGTCTCCATCTTGAGGCCTAGTTTTCAACTGATGTGGAGCTGTGGTTTGTCTCATCTTTGTCCTGGCACTCTTGAGGACTTACCCCTATCTGACTCCCTATGATATCTACCTAGCTCATCTATCTATAATACCTTCCTAGTCACCAAAACTGTTACCACTCGCTTAGGCTCCTATGCTCACGTTTGCTTGTCTGCTTGCCACTGACTAAACCAAAGGAGGTCATATATTTAGATAAAAAGGATTTACTTAAAGCTAGCTCCAAGGAGATGGAGGGATCCATTTGCCTCAAGTCACCATCTCCCTGTTTACAGGTGGGCAAAGGTCTTTTACAGTAAGGAAGGGTAGTGCACATAGAGAGAATACAGATCTTTATACTTGCTTTATCACTTTCAGCCATTGTTTTTAGCTCATCCTATTTTTTTTTTTTTTTTTTAAAGAAACCAGGCTTCTGGCCTCCTGCAGCTATCTGTATATTTTGTCACTTTTTAAGGCTGAAGGCTGTTGGGGGAAGCTGTTTATAATCTAGGACTCAGGAAGTCATTTATCTTCAAAGGAAAGAAGTGTAATAGGGCCTCTGTAGTTGGAACTATAGAGATGCGCCACACTCTGAATTGAATGGAGTCCTTTATTATGAGCCAGCTGATTGAGAATGGCTCTTGCCAAAAGTTCTCAACAAAGGAAAGGCAGTTTGCAAGGTCCTTTTAAGGGCTCATAATTAAGGGAAAAGTGGTGTCCTGGGGAGGATACTGTGAACCATGATGGGGGGTAGTGGCATGCTGAAGTTTCTGGGTACTGTAGTTCTGCAGTTGAGGCATACAGAATTTGTGGGTACTGCATCCTGGGAGGGAGCATCACACTTAGGATTATGGGTAAGGGGGTAGGGGGTGTGCTAAGGCTTCTGCCTATGGTGGGGCATGCATAATCTTCTGGGAAATGTTGTCTGTGTGCGTGGGGGGGGTCACAACAAGGATTCTGGGTAGTGTAGTTCTATGATTGAGGTAGGCAGAATTTTCTAGGTACTTTAGTCCTGGGTGTGGGTGTAAGGCCAACAATTCTGGGTACTGTAGTTGGGGGTGCACACCAGGGCTTCTGGTTTGGGTTACTGAAGGACCCCACTTAGCAAGACAGACTCCATATTACTACTTGACCCACCTGCCTTGCCTGTCCTTTAGATGAATTCAGAGGGAGGAAGCTTAGAAACCTCCTCCCCTTAAAGAGTCCCTTTAAAAATAACAATCAACTATTGTTTTACAAATGTTCTAACAGCAGGACATTCTGCTTCTGTACCTTTCACTTGCTTTGCTAGTTCTATCCCATAGGGGGGTCTAGGAACTGTTAGCCTCAAAGGTGTATAAAACATGTTTGTCTCCCCCCAGTTGAGGCTCCAGTCCGATGCTCGGCCTGGGTCCCGGCCGGTAATAAACTCCTGTGTGGATTTAATATCAGTCTCTAGTTGGTTCTTTCTTGCTGGGTCTAACATTCTTGGAGGGCCCAGCGAGGTAGCCAGCTGCTCTGGAGCCATTATTATCCTGGAGCCATTGTTTCTTTTTAGGAGAGACCAGGATCAGACATCGGCGGTGTTTGACCCCTCTGGACACTGGTCTGCAAAAGGAGAGGCCGCCCTGATGGTATTCCAGGGCTCCGGGTAGGCCAGCCCCAGTCAGGCCCTATCGCTGATCACCCGACCCGCAGGAGTTTATCAGGAAAGCCTGTAGAGGTAAGAATCGAATGATTCTTAGTGCACTGTGGGTAGATAGGAGGAAGATGGATGTGGCACAGGTTCCCCTATCTAGAGTTTCTTTGAGACAGCAAGCAGACTCACTGGGTTGGAGTCCTCAGAAGGGCGACTCCCTGGGTTGGGGTCCATATCCATTCGGCCCCAGAGGTTTTACCTGGCCAAAGTTTGTCTTTGTTTATTGTTGTCTATCTGCTTGCTCTGTGTGCCTTTTGCATTTTCACAGGCTAAAATTATGGGTTCCTCACAGTCCACAGAAGGAACTCCACTTGATTGTGTTTTGAATAACTTCAGACAAATTTCTTCCACAGAAAGGGAAGTTGAATATGGCATGAAATTTTCTAAAGAAAAGTTGCAAAGCCTGTGTCAATTAGAGTGGCCCAGTTTCAGTGTCGGTTGGCCCCCGGTGGGAACCTTATCTCTAACCATCGCTCGTGAGGTTTGAAATATGGTCACGGGAGTAGGGGGCCTGTGGCATCTGGATCAATTTCCCTATATTGATATTTAGATAATGATGTTAGAGGATCCCCCTAAATATTTTATGCAATGCACAGGTCCTGATCGACCTTTGGCGACCCTGAACTGGAGGAAAAGGGGAAATTGGAACCAAAAGGGGGAGGCTCCCCCTTTGATGGTTGTGTCAACAAACAAAGGTGTCCTCCAGTCTGGCCCTGAGGATGACTTTAGCTGACCTCCCCCTTTTCACGTGGGAGGTATTGGCACCTGGGAAAGGGGGCCTGAATCTCCCATCACAGGCCCTCCGGTTCTGGACTCCTCCTCAGACGAGATCTGCTCACCTCCCCATACTTTATCAGGACAGGACTACTGGCCATTGGCCCCATCTTCCTCCTCCCTTTTTGCCTTAAAACAGACAGAGCCTGGGGGAGGATTAATGTCCCTTTCACAACTAGTGATCTCTATAATTAAAAACATCAAAATCCCCCCTTCTCTGAGAAGCCCCAGGCATTGATTTCTCTTCTTGAGTCTGTTTTTCATACCCATCAGCCAACTTGGGATGATTGCCAGCAGATCCTGTTCACCACCGAGGAGTGGGACTGCATTTATCAACAGGCAGTCAAGGAGGCCCTGGGGCCAAACCCCGGTGCCACTCCTGGAACCCCAGGGTATTTAGCCAGGGCCGAAGCTGTGGTTCCATCGTGGCACCCTGAATGGGACCCCAATGATGATGGTAGGAGGAGGCTGGGGACCTACCACCAGCACTTATTAGAGGGACTCTGGGCAGCTGCCAGCCCACTAATTTGAGTAAGGTAAGTGGGGTTCCCCAGGAAAAAAAAAAAGGAATTTCCAGCTGCATTTTTAGAGAGACTCTTGGAAGCCTGCTCCTATTGACCCAGAGGTTCCCAAAAATGCAGCAGCTGTAAATCTGGCCTTTGTTTCCCAATCAGCCCCAGATATTAGAAAAACGTTACAAAAGGTAAAAGGATTTCAGGGAAAAAATAGGACTGAGCTCTTGAGTATTGCCCAAAAGGTTTACGAAAATCGTGACTCCCCTGAAGAAGCGGTGGCAAAAAAAAATTTTTTAAAAAGTCACTATTGCAGCCTTGGAACCTGTGAATCTAAGGGGTGAGGGAGGGATGGGCAAAGGAAAAAGGGATGCCTGCCCTTAAAAAAGATCAATACACAATTTACAAAAAGTTTGGCCACTGGCAGAGAGAGTGCCCCTTCCAAGAGGATAAAAAGAAGACCCCCATGGAGAGGGAACAAAAGGTCCTGATAATGGAGACTGCCAAAGATTAGGGGAGTCGGGGCTCTTTCACTATCAACCCCTGGAAGCCCATTGCGGGGAACCCCCGACTGTTGGCTCTCCAACATCTGACTGACCCAGTATCAAGCCTTACTCCTAGAGCAACTCTGGATTCGCTTCACAAAAGAGATGGCCCTCAACCCAGTGACCTTGCTCCCCGATCCTGACCTGGACAAACCAGCTCACGATTGCCAGGACGTGATCCCTTCCTCCAGCACCAGCGGGCCAGACCTCACTGATGTCCCTATCTGAGAGCTGGAAACAGTATACTTCATGGATGGGAGTGGTTATGTGGAGGACAGGGTCAGGTGTGCTGGGGCAGCTATGGTCACACTGGAAGGAAAAATTAAATGGGCTCAGCCTCTAAATAGGGGCTCCTCGGCCTAAAAAAGCTGAGCTGATAACACTGACTCAGGCTTTGTGGCTCGGCCAAAAAAAAGACTGTAAATATTTATACTGACAGCGGGTATGTGTTTGCCACAGCCCATGTACATGGCGCCATCTACTGGCAACAAGGCTTATTGACCTCAGAAAAAAAATTATTTAAAAAAAATTTGGCCTTATTGGAGACAATTTGGGAACCCAGGGCATTGTCCATTGTTCATTACAAAAGCCACCAAAAGGAGACAGTTTCGAGGCCTGCAGTAACTGAGAGGCCGATGATGCGGCCCGATGAGTGGCCAGAGAACCAGTGGGGCCCATAGACATATTGCCCATCCAACCTTTTGGCTACTTACTGGAACTGCCCATGGTACACTCAGGAGGGAACCCCCCCCCCCCAAATGCCCAACTAGGGGTGATAAAACAGAACTCCATGTGATGGAAGTGACCAGATGAAAAAATCTGCCTACCTCAAGCCCTGGGCAGACAACTTCTTCAACAGCTCCATCACTTCACCCATCTAGGGGAATCCAAACTAAAAAAAACTGGTGAGTTCCAAATTCTCCGTTCCAGGATTAACTTCATTGGTTACGGATATCTGTTCCAGGTGCCAAGTATGTGCTCGAGTCAACCCCCGTGCAGGGCCCCATAAGGAGGGGGCCTGATTGAGGGGAACACAACCCGGAAAACACTGGAAACTGGACTTTACTGAGGTAAAAATCCAGCCAAAGGTACAAATATTTACTGGTCCTAGTAGATACTTTTTCAGGATGGGTAAAATCTTACCCTACCAGGACAAAGTCTGCTAATATGGTTACTACAATATAACTCCAAGAGTTCATCCCCAGATTTGGTCTCCCACAGTACCTGGGGTCCGACAGTGGCCTGGCCTTCACGGCTCAAGTGTCTAAATTATTGGCCAGGGCCCTAAATATTAAATGGAAACTACATTGTGCCTATCACCCACAAAGTTCAGGACAAGTAAAAAAGATAAATAGATCTTTAAAAAAAACATTGACAAAGTTCATTTTGGAAACTGGTGGTAGGTGGCCTGATTTGCTCCCTCTTGTCTTACTCAGGGTTTGATGTCAAAACATTCACTCCTTTGGAAAATCTCCACCCCCAAGAGGCCGAAGACCACCATACCAATCTTACAGATATTAACTAAGGTTCATAAATTGCTAAATTTGTCTAGACTGGAAAAAAAAAGAGGAGATTGTTGGTTATGTCTAGACCCAAAGCCCCCCTATTATGTAGGGGTGAGAGTGACCTCTGTGCCTAAATCTGTGTCTTCCACTGACGGTAACTGGAACAAACCTATGCCAACTTTAGGGAATGTACAAGGAACAGAAACATGTCTGACTGGGACAAATTATAACCTGGATAGTTCACCAGGGTTTATGTAACTTAACTTTCACCAACCATAAAACTCCAGGCTCCCCTTTATATTATAAGGCTCCAGAAGATGCCTTGTTTGCTTGTACCAAGGGCTTGACTAAGTGTATACCCAAGTTGGTCTTAGCCACTCAATCTGCCAGTTTATTTTGTGTTACTATGTATGTTGTTCCACAAGTCTTGTATTATAATGGAAAAGGGGGCCACGAACATCTGGGATTAACCACTGAACACTATAGGAGTAAACAGGCTGCCCTCATTTTAGTACCCATTCTGGTGGGATTAGGAATAGCCAGGTCAGTGGCTATTGGAACTTCCTCCCTAATCCTTCAGGACACAAATTTTAAAGCCCTAAGCCACCAGGTAGCTAGAGATTTGGGCCACGTGGAAGACTCAATCTCCAGGTTGAAAACAGGTTGATTCCCTAGCTAAAATGGTCTTACAAAATCAAAGGGGACTTAATCTTCTGTTCATAAAACAAGGAGGATTATGTGTAGCTCTAGAAAAAAAACCTGTTGCTTTTATGCTAATCAGTCTGGTGTCATTAGAGATACCCTAGCTATGGTCAGGGAAAATTTAAAAAGACTAAATATGCTCAACAAAAGGATCAAAATTGGTTTCAAAATCTATTTGGCTGGTCCCCATGGTTAACTACTCTAGTTTCTGCTGTAGCATGTCCCCTAGTTATCTTGTCTGCTTTTGCTCAAGGGTTGATGCAGTTAAACTGATGGTGTTGAGACAAAATTATGAGATTTTAGAAGACGTTTAAAAAAAATCCAAAGAGTAAATACAGGAATCAAAGATTTGATTAAGTTGCAAGAACCAGTGGGGAATGAAGGACCCTAGTTAGCAAGACAGACTCCATATTTCTGCTTGACCCACCTGCCTTGCCTGTCCTTTAGATGAACTCAGAAGGAGGAAGCTTAGAAACCTCCTCCCCTTAAAGAGTCCCTTTAAAAATAACAATCAACTATTGTTTTACAAATGTTCTAACAGCAAGACATTCTGCTTCTGTACCTTTTGCTTGCTTTGCTAGTTCTATCCCATAGGGGGGCCTAGGAACTGTTAGCCTAAAAGGTGTATAAAACATGTTTATCTTCCCCCAGTTGGGGCTCGAGTCTGATGCTCAGCTCAGGTCCCGGCTGGTAATAAACTCCTGTATGGATTAATATCGGTCTCTGGTTGGTTCTTTCTCACTGGGTCTAGCAGTTACCATGTGCAAGATTCTGTGACCTCTGGCAAGCAATGCTGTGGATTCAGCAGCTGTTGTCACCAACCTCCTCGTGTCAGTTGTCCTGGTGAGCTGGACTCCTGTGTGCTTTCTATCCAGTGGGACAAAAGGGCTGAGAAGACTAGGCTGGTAGGGCTTTGCTGCTGGTGCCCACACAGTGACTGGCCCCAGGTCGCTCACACCTGAGAGATGCTCCTCCTGCCTTGCAGTGCCCAATCCTGAAGCACCCTGGCAACACCCCTCCTCCTCCAGAACTCAGGCCCTGCTCTTCTCATTACCCACCCACAGCTGTGGTGCCCTGGCCCCTCCCCTCCCCACCAGGCCCCTCCCCTCCCCCACCAGGCTCCACCCCCTGACATGACCAGCCATGTTGTGCCCAATTCTAGCACTTCTCCTCCTGAACACAGGCTCGCCCCCTGGTGTGGCCGGCCCCACCCCTCCCATGACCCAGCCCCAGGATGCTCTTAGCTGAGGAACCCTGGCTTTGTCCTTCCTCATCCTGTAGCCAGGCTCCACTTTCTTTTGTGAATCCACTGTTGTGACCAACCCTGGTGCTGCCGGGTTAAGCTGCTTCTCTTCCTGAACCCAGGCTCTGGCCCTCCCATAACCCAGCCCCAGTTCCCCCATAGCTGAGGAGCCTGGTCACACCCCTCTTCATCCTGTAGCCAGGCTCTGCCCTCTCCCATGAGCTTACCAGCTGCACACCCTCCTCTCTGGACCCTTCCTGCATCCTGACCAAAGCATTGCCATCAGCTATGGTTTATGTCCAGCAGAGAGCTTTCTAGAGTGGTCACCACAGACGGCAGCTTCATCTCTCTCAGCAGGTGAGGAGCCTCCTACCCTGACAGCCCTCCTTCCCTGGGCAGGTTGAGGTGTGCACACCTGCTGGCCTCACCAACCCCAGGCCTCACCTTCCCACCAAGCCTGTCTGAGGCCTCACCAAGCCCGGGCTCAGCTTTGTGCAAGGCCCACTTCAGACTTCACCTTCCCGACAAGCCCTCTCCAGCCTCACCAACCCCAGGCCTCAACTTCCCACCAAGCTGGTGCTAGGCCTCACCAGTGCCAGCTGTCACCTTCCCACCAAACTCCCCCAGCCTCACCAGTCCCAGGATTCACCTTCCCACCAAGCTGATGCTAGGCCTCACCAGTCCAAGGCCTTACCTTCCTGCCAAGTCCACCCCAGCCTCACCAACCCCAGGCCTCACCTTTCCACCAAGCTCCTGCTAGGCCTCACCAGTTCCAATTCTCACTCAACAAGCCTGCCCCCATCATTACCAACCCCAGGCCTCACCTTTCCACCAAGCCTGCCCTAGGTATCCTTGCTGTGCAGCAGTAGTGTGAGGTGCAGCAAGTAAGGAGGGTTCTGGGTGTGTGGAGAGGGGCCCACATGCACAGGGAGGCTGGTGAAAAAAGGGCAATCCACAATCAGCGAGAATTAAGTTAGGATGAACTGTAGGGTTAGTGCTGGTGTTAGGTGTTGTTTAGGTTCAAGCTAGTTTTATATTAACCTCAAGGTTGTAAGGAAGTATTTATGTTGGAGCTTGTATTATTGCTTGGCATATTGTTAGGTTTATCTCTTACAATTAGGCTAGCTCTGTCAGGAAATCAGTGGAATTTTTATAACATAATGGAATTCTTAGGCCCACTTCACTTTCACCACCTACCCTGCCTGGGAGAAAATTTAATTTATAAATTGCAGATTCAGGCTATTTATGTTCCTCTGCTTTGACAAAGAACTTCAATTAGCTATTTTGGGAATTTGTCAACTCATTTTTCTGAATTTTCACAACTGGCATTATGTCACAATCAGCCAGATATAGTTATTTTCCCTGAAAGTCAATAGTAGTTTACCATGAAATACAACTATAGAGTTGCTAATTTTTAGGGAAATGTTGTTAGCAATATTCAAGTGGTATATTGTCATGAAAATTGTATTTCTAGGAATTTCTTTAACATACTCATTTGCAGATTCTTGTATTTATAATCTCTATTTACATAGAATACCTCAGAAGCATATTTCCCTCCGTGTAAATTGCTGTTAAAATATATTTTCAGTTTTTTAAATTTAGTGACACCACTTCACTTAAATTGTTTTGTTTTGTTTTTGAGACAGAATCTCACTCCATAATTCAGGTTGGCCTTGAACTCACTATGTAGTCTTGGCTGGCCTTGATCTCACAGTGATCCTCCTGCCTCAGCCTCCTGAGTGTTGGGATTACAGGCATGTGCCACCACTCTTGGTTTAAACTTCTTGTTCACCAGTAACCACAGGATTGCTGGCTAACTTTCAGTGCCATTCAGTGATGACTGTCACAGTGGAGTAAAATGGACTTGTTGTTCAGCTGTTACAGGCCTAAGATTGTTAGAGCATCTTTGATGTCTCATCTTTTTTAGATTGTCAGTAAGTACAGTTTGCCAAATAACTTTTGAGGCACTGGAACATACCTGAATTAAGAATGATTTCATGGGGCTGGGGATTTAGCTCAGTGGTTCTGGCACCTGCCTTGCAAGCGCAAGGTCTCGAGTTTGATCCCTGGTACCAAACAAAACAAAAAAGAATGATTTCATCTTTTACTTGTCTTTATACTCACTTAAAGTCAGGTAACCCACCTAAAGTGTGTGCATACTCTGTCTGGAATTCCCCCACTTCCCCAATTAGGTCAGAGATGAGAGGAGAGGAAACATTTTTGACTAAGATTTGGGGTTGGGAGAGAAAGGATTTTTACATAGACATTACCCTTTTGCAAATATTACAAATGGGGAATACAAAGTAGAAAAAGTGTACAGTAGTTAAAACATTTGCTGTGTAAATTGTTAATCTTTAGAGATGGAATGGCTGCTAAAAATAGAGTCCTTATACTAAAGAAAAATTTATGCCATTTTGAAAATCAGATCTTGTTCTGTAAATGCAGCTGAAGTAAATTTTAATGTCAGTTCACAAATCAGTGCTGTGAGGGGAATGAGTAAAGTGGAAAAACTTTCAATTTTAAATAATGTAGTGTAATCAAACATGGTCATACAGAATTTTTATATTTTTCTTTGTACAGAGGTTATATATTCTGGATGTTTTTTAAAAGGAAACTTTTTTTTCTTAAATTCTTTTATTGGTACATTTTAGGTATACAATATGTTTACATTTATCATTGAGTGCTTGTACCTATACATGATGTATTTTAGTTCTTATTTTTTCCCCATTACCTGTGCACCCTTCACCCCCTCCACCCTTTCCTATTTACATAGACTTCGTTTCCATTTTTTTTCTTTTCTCATAATATTTCCTTTCCCCTTCTCCTTCCACTTCCCCTACCCCTTTGGACCTTCCTATTTCAAATTATCATTTTAATCATTTTAATCCTTATTTACACTTTCAGTTCCTCACACTAGAGAAACTATTTGGTATTTACACGTGTGTCCTATTAATTTCACTTAAGAGTATGGCCTCAATATGCATCCATTTAGCTATAAATGCCTCTAGTTTCTCATTCTTTATGGCTGAGTAGTACTCCATTTTATAAAAGAACCAAATCTTTTTTATCCAGTTTCCAGTTGATGGGCACTTGGGCTGTTTAAAGGATACATTTTAAATCCCACAAATCAACATTTTTCATCATTCGTGAATGGACTAAGATTTTCTCAGTACTCTGAAATTTCTTTAAATTATATGCTTAACAATAGAGAAATTGGGTTGTTTTTGTATATATGACTGATTCCACCTGAAATGCTATCACAAGTACTTGAGGGGAATTTATCTTGTACATGCATTTACTTGTTTTATAAGCCCTTAGACTATGCATTTGGCCTGTAAAATGTACAGTTTAATGTCAGCCATCCATAAGTACTGTTGTATAATTTTCTTTGGTCAGAAACATTTGAACATGTAGTGCCACTTGGGTCAGGATTTTCTTCAGTACCCTTTATTTAGCAAACTGACTGTCTTTGGTGTATGCAACTAGCAAAAATTTGTATAATACATCAATATAGTTCTCACACTTAACTTTCACATGAGTAGTTTTTCTGGAACCCAGTTTAGCAAAATTAGAGGGAAAGTTCTAAGAACATTTAAGAGAAAAAGGTCAACATTTTCAGGCTAAATAGTTGAATCTACTAAAGATAGCAAATCATGTCTACTATCTCAACTCTCCAAAGTTTGGGGTTAGTATTGAACTGTCATTTGAGCTTATTTTTGAGGTAGCTGAATAAGAGTGGGGAGCTAAATTTCAGTTTCATGTTCCTCCTGTATAAGCAGAAAATAAGCAGTTGTAAACTGACTTGCAGACAAAGTAAACTGCCCTGCATAATATTTAAGGAAAATGAACTGTTAAAGACTTATTTATTTCAACATTTAATTTTAACAAGACATTTGATAACACAAGACATTATTTTGACAAATTTGTAGCCTTTTAAAATAGTTTTGCTTTAACTTCATTAAGAACAGCTCTCTGAGAGAAGCTCATCTGGTCCCAGAACCCGGAAGGAAGCTCCCCCGCTGCCATCCCAAGCTCCTAGGGCAGAGAAGCTGAGCCAGCCCCAGCACCCAGAAGGAA